CGGTGCTTTGTGACTGCCTGGAGGGGTGGGATAGGGAGGGTGGGAGGGAGGGAGACGCAAGAGGGAAGAGATATGGGAACATATGTATATGTATAACTGATTCACTTTGTTATAAAGCAGAAACTAACATACCATTGTAAAGCAATTATACTCCAATAAAGATGTAAAAAAAAAATTTAAAGTACTGAACATCTGTGTCTGTTTCCTAATTAGGAAGTTTACGGTAATGGAATACAGTGATGTGTAGTTGCATGACATTGATCTACGAACAAGATCTCAGCCTCAGTTTTTACGTTTGTAAATTGAAGAGCCAACAAAATGGAATTTGAGTTTCCTTCTGGACCTAAAATTCTGTTTTTCATGGATCACACAAACAATAAGAGAAACACTTCACCACATACCTTTGGATGCCGACACGCATGGATCTGAGTGTCACGGTCTGTTGTGAGATGATGAAGAATGTCAGGCATGTTTCGAAACATGTCTAGTTTATTCACGTGAACCTGAGGAAAACAATACAAATAAAGCACATTATTGGAATTGTATTTCCTGTAAATAAAGTGTTAAGGGTAATTAGGCAAGGTCAAATCATCCAGTTAAAACTAAGTCTTTCTTCTTCCTCGAAGCCTAGTTTTCAGCTATTTCAACGCAGGACGCTGAGATCCCATTTCCAGCAGTCTGCGTTACCACCCGTTGTGGGTGGTAATGAAAAGTCTGGCGACTCGGCTGGTGGATTTCATTGGATCGATCCATCAAGAGTCATTCGATTCATATTTATTGTGCACCTGCTCTATGTCAAGCTTTATTCTAAATATGGCATGTACTGCAGAGAACAATCAAGAATCACTTGCTCATGGAATTCCCTGGCGGTCCAGTGGTTAGGACTTGGCACTTTCACTGCCGGGGCCCGGGTTTGATCCCTGGTCAGGGAACTAAGATCCCGCAAGCCATGAGGCACAGCCAAAAAATAAATAAAATAAAATACTAAACAAATGAATCACTTGCTCATGAAGACACACACAACACACTGCATACGGGCAGCTGGGGGAGAGGGAGGCCAGTGGGAAGAGGAAGTGGAGACCCAGGTCCTCCCTTTCCACACACCTTTTTATTGGATGAAAAGGAGGAGGGCAGATGCAAAAAAGCAAAACAAAACAAAACAAACCTCAGCCACCTTTAGAATTTTAAAGCGAATACGTTTTAAATTGTTAAAACCCACATGTCGGTTTTACTTGAATCGTTTTCTGGGTAGTTTTGAGTAAACAGCAAGTACTTAAATTAATACAAGGATAATGAAATAGCACTCCTCAAAAAAGTATGCTCATTTCGAAGTCTGAATAACAAAACACTTTAGAATAATGTTAAATCGCTGTGGTAATTAATACCAAGACAGCTATAGCAAGAGCCCGAGGATGAGACTTCCCTGGTGGAGCAGTGGTTAAGAATCCGCCTGCCAATGCAGGGGACACAGGTTCGAGCCCTGGTCCTGGAAGATGCCACATGCCGCGGAGCAACTAAGCCCGTGCGCCACAACTACTGAAGCCCGCGCACCTAAAGCCCGTGAGCCACAACTACTGAGCCTGCGTACTGCAACTACTGAAGCCCACGCACCTAGAGCCTGTGCTCTGCAACAAGAGAAACCACCACAATGAGAAGCCTGTGCACGGCAACAAAGAGCAGCTCCCGCTCGCCGCAACTAGAGAAAGCCCGCGTGCAACAACGAAGACCCAACAGATCCAAAAATAAATAAATTAATTAAAAAAGAACCCGAGCATGACTTCTTACTTATCCTGTGATATCCTGTAACTTATCCTTATTCCTCTCACTACCTGTTTACTAATGAGTAACAAGAAGTAACAAGGAATTGACTTTTCTGGCCTAAGAAGGATATAAAAGAGGCAAATTCTGAGATGTACAGAGAAACAGGGAGAAACTTTCATCCTCACAAAAATGAAGATGCTTGAAAAGGTTGCCATAAATCATCTCTTAGGTCCCTCTATCAAAAGACCTCACCAGTGCCTTCCCTGGTGGTCCAGTGGTTAAGACTCCACGCTTCCACTGCAAGGGGGCGCAGGTTCGAGCCCTGGTGGGGGAACAAAGATCCCGCATGCCGCCCAGCATGGACATAAATAAATAAATAAATAAATAAATTTTTAAATTAAAAAATCTCACTGTTCTCCCTTTTAAAATTCCTTCTCTAGAATTGTTTCTAACCCCTACAGAGAGATTAAGAGACTTGAAAGAGGGCTCACTCTGGGGTGCCTCCGGGGTCACCTTCCTAAGGCCTGCTTTCTCTTCCCCCACCTCCATCCCTGGACCCCTCCTCGGCCCAGGGTTTCTCCCTATGAGGCCTCAGAGCTGGAGGAGCTTCCAGTCTTTTCGATTTCACAACCACTAAAATTCACAAAACAAATTTGGGACTGGTAAGTGGTTGCTACCTTTATATTTTGCCAAGAGAGGACGTGAGAAAAAAAAAAAAGCAAATAGTAAAATGCGTGCACACATACAACCTATTACCACTGTGATTTTAATTTAAAGGACCATTTGAACACCAAAAAACATAAGAACGACAATCTCAGAATGAAAGCAAGTCCTTCCCAAAATGGAGAATTGGCAGCTTTACACCAAAAACATTTGGACACAAAAACTTAAGGAAGGAAGAAATTAAGGAAAGAATGGCTTAGGAAGTAAGGGCTTAGGGAGGGAGGGAGGAATTTTTAAAATTGCAAATGCAGAAGCACTAAATCTTTTCAGTTTTACTAAATTACATTGTATATAAGTGTTAAGTTCTTAGCACAAGTCTGTTAGCTGGGGGATAGATAGTAAAAGTTGACGAATGAAGTAGAATTTAAATGTCCGACTCGTTCCAGCGTTTCGTTTTGTCCAGAGTCGCCACCAAAACTCCATCTCCTCTCATGGGAAGTGGGCGCTGCAGGAAGCACTTGGCATGCTCACCCGGCTGCCCGGGGTCCCGAGAGCCCAGCATCGAGCCACCTGGAAGGGACGGGTGAACACTGGCTCCCAGCCTGACCTGATGTGAATCGTCCATGGGGAGGGGGCTCAGTGCCTCAGGACAGCGTTCTTCACACACTTCTGACCATGACCCCCAGTAAGAAATATGTTTCCACGGCAACCGAGGATGCATACGCAGCATGTATGTACAGACGGTCCCAACTTGGGATGCTCGACCCAGGATTATTCAGCTTTGCGATGGTGAGAAACCAATATGCATCCAGTAGAAAACGGACTTCGGATTTTGAGTTACGATCTTTTCCTGAGCTGGCGGTATGATCCTCTCTCGTGATGCTGGTCAGCACCGCAGCAAGCTGCCGCCCCAGTGAGCCACGCGATCACGCGGGTGAACGGCCACCGTCCACACACCGACCACCATTCTGGACCCAGGCAACGATTCTGGTTTTCACTTTCACTACAGCACTCAATAAATTACACGAGACACTCCCCACTTTACTGTAAGATAGGCTTTGCGTTACGTGATTTTGCCCAACTGTAGGCTAATCCAAGTGTTGTGAGCACTTTTTTTTTTTACATCTTTATTGGAGTGTAATTACGTTACAATGTCGCGTTAGTTTCTGCTGTACAACAAAGTGAATCAGCTCTATGTATACATATATCCCCATATCCCCTTCCCTCTTGCGTCTCCCTCCCACCCTCCCTATCCCACCCCTCTAGGTGGTCACAAAGCACTGAGCTGATCTCCCTGTGCTATGCGGCTGCTTCCCACTAGTTGTCTATTTTACATTTGGTAGTGTATGTATGTCCATGCCACTCTCTCACTTCGTCCCACCTTCCCCTTCCCCCTCCCCGTGTCCTCAAGTCTGAGCAGGTTTAAGGTAGCTGAGGCTAAGCTATGGTGTTCAGTGGGTCAGGGGTATTTAAATACATTTTGACTCAATGAGATTTTCAACTTACGATGCATTTATTGGGCCGTAGCCCTGTGGTTAAGTCGAGGAAGATCTAGATATGTACGTGTCTGATTCCCCACATAAATTTTCACAAGACAATGTTTATTCTGACTGTAAGCAATACACTCAGATATTTCCTAGTTCAATTTTATTCTCATTGCTGGTCACAAACACTGAATTTATTTCATGACCCACAGTTTTGAAAAACTACTTCCTTTAGGGGACTTTTCACCAAAGGGCTCTTCCCACTGTCAATTCCTCCCAAGAGGAAGCGAATAAACAAAGACGACAAAGGCTGTCACGGTTTCCAGTCTGGGGGGGGGGGGGCTTTGGGGGGAAAGGGGGAAGGAGGGGAAAGGCAGAGTTGGGAGGATGGACAGGACCAAGAGGAAAGAAAGAGCCGTCAGGCACCTGGACTCCGAACTCCTCGCTGAGGTTGGTGAAGAGATACTCGTACCCGTAGGCAGCCTTGCAGCTCAGCCACACTACGTGGTATGGACTCCGCGTGATCCAGCTGCGAACCAGCTCCAGGATCCCATGCAGACACTCCTCCTGGGCAGGAAGGTTCAAAGGCAGTTAACACTTTTCCATTCTCAGGATTCCCAGATATTCACGCAAATGGAGACAATCACCATGCGATCTGTAATCTCACAAGCTTCCCTCTAAGAAATGCGGGCCGTGCTCCAGGGAGACGTACCCGACTAGGAATTTGGTAATATTTCGGATCGCAGAAAGTCGTGTCTAAGTACACACTCTGGATGTCTTTCACTCTGAAAACAAAAATGAAACAAGGGGTGTGACTCACCTCATGGGAAATAAAATATGGATAAAATCTAAACTCTTCGTTAGAGAGAGAAAATCTAAGACATCCAAATGGATGTTCCATTTGGAATTTTTTTTTTATTAACAACTTTGTCAGGAAATGATTTCCATATAACAAAATAACACAGATTTTGCATATGTGGTTCAGTGAATTGTGACCAATTCACGTAACTACTACCGCAGTCAGCACACGGAATGTTACCATTACCTCGTTTCAAGAGGAAAAGTTTGCTTTACCGTTACAAATATTATTATAATCGAGTTAGATTTCTAATAGAAACAAAGGCTCATATTTGGGGGGAGGGGGGAGAACAATAAAACCTTTAAAACAGTGCAGCCTTAACATTCAAGAATTACGTAAAGCCCAGAGTACCTGCCCCCGGAGTGCAGAAGCTCCATTCGGGCAGCTTCTCCTTTTGCCAATCTGAAGTCTCCCGTGTACAAGACGGTCCCATTGTTGCCCTGAAATAAAAACCTGAAAAGGGTACAGACCTCAGTGACTTCTAAGTCTCAGACAAAATCCTAATAAAGCAAATATATACTAAATCCACAGCCCATGTTGCCTGCCAAGCACAGCCACTATGATAATGGAACTTCCACAGCACTAAACCACACCAGGCACTCAGCTGCACCTCTTCCCAAAGGGGGAAAATAATAACATGATGGAGATATCGCTGAGTTTGCAAGAAATGTCCTCTGAAATACATCAGCACCTTCCACTGTGTACTGAGATCATCCCTGCTCATGGAGAGAAAAATCCATGTGATGGGAAAATGCAAAGCCAATGGAAAGGCTGCTACTGAAGACTTCCATTGTAAGAAAGCCACGTTTCGAACGTGACCTGCACCTCAGTCCCCCAAGTTCAATTTGGAAGCAAAGATTACAGGAATTGCCATCATAAGACTCGAACCTCCCTGTACAGGTTATTTTCTAGACCCTACAAGTTTATTTCTACAAATACAATACATATCTACACAAAATAAATGGGCAAAATAGATAAGCCCCCTTACATAACTGATCCTGGGCAATGACCAGCTGGTAAGAGAGTCACAACAATCTCTTCCTTCTAAAAAGAAAATAAAAGAAGAAAATAATAATCATACAAGTTATCATTAGGACCCAGCTAAACAAAGCCCTCCTGAATACAACACACACAACTACTTCCCAAGAACGTGGTGCGCCTTTCTCCTCATTTCCCCACTCTCCAAACCCTGGAAACAAGTGGAATCCTCACCCACAAACAAATGGTTAAACGTAGAGTCACAGTGTGACACAGCAATTCCACTCTTGGGTATACACGTGAGAGACGCGAAAACTTAGGTCCACACAAAACGTGAATGTTCACCGCAGCATTATTCATACTAGCCAGAGTAGAAGCAGCCAAAGTGTCTATTGGCTGACGATTGAACCGGCAAAATGTGGTCTAGCCATACGATGGAATATTCTTTGGCCAAAAAAAGAAATGAAGAACTGATACATCCTACACCATGGATAAACACTGAAAGCATTATGCAAAGTGAAAGAAGTCACGAAAGACCGCATACTGTATGAGTCCATTTAAATACGATGTCCAGAATGGGCAAATCCATAGAGACTTACACTAGACTAGCAGTGGCCAGGAGCTGGGGGGAGGGAGAAACAGGGTCCCGTATTTCTTTCTGGGCAATGAAAATATTCTGAAATTGATTGTGGTGATGGATACACAACTCTGTGAATACACTAAAAGCCATTGAATAGTGTACTTTAACTGGGGTGAATGGTACGGTATGTGAATTATGTCTCAATAAAGCTGTTGTTAAAAAAAATAAAAATAAAAAGGAATTCCCTGGCAGTCAAGTGGTTAGAACTCCACGCTTCCACTGCAGGGAGCACGGGTTCAATCCCTGGTCAGGGTACTAGGTTCCTGCAAGCCGCACGGACAGTTAAAAAAAAAAAGTCTGATGCAGCCTGGTCCCAAGTCACCATGCAGCACGCTGTACTGTCCTGTTAGGCGGAGCCTCATGGGCACTACAGCCTCTCGGGGCTCAGTACGTGGTGGGGCAGAGCTCTGGATGCGTCAGCTCTCCACTCGACCATGGTAACTCCCCCTGGATGTCTGACATCGTTCGTTCCAAAGGCCCTTTAGAAGGGGCTTTCTCACTGGTTGGAGCTGGAGACACACAAGTCTCAGTGGGAGAGGAGAAATGGAAAGGACAAGAGCGGGGCGGCTGGACTCAGCTCACCAAGAGCCACCTGCTGCCCAGTGCCCGATTCTGAGAAAGCCTTTCACCAACACACATTACAGGCCACCGGGCACTGACAGCATATCCCCAAAAGTGTCAGCTAACCGAGCTCAGGATGGCATTTAGGAAGGTTCAGGCCATCCCTTTCCCCTCCCTCAGGACAGTAAGTCGAGAAGTACTCCAATGCCTGATCTCCTCCAGGGAGGACATGTGAAATGTCGGCCCCTGTCCCATCACAGTCACACCACCAAGGACACCCTTCAGAGTTAAACGTGTCCACAGAGCAGGTTCTAATCGGGCTACGGAACAAATATTAACTAGATTTGCCATAAGATAGGAAAACACCGCCTAGCCCTAGGTATAATTTGAGATAAAAATAAATAAATACAGAAAAGGTGGGTTGGTACTCCTACTTACTATTAAAAAAGATAAATGCACAACACAAAAGTACCTGCCTCTAAATTTAAGGACAAAAAAATAAATTGGATCCACTTGGACAATGTCTTTTTCTTGAATACGAAAATGATTCAGAAAAAAAATCACAATATACATAAATTTGCTGCAAAAACATTAAGCATGGTTTTATATCCTGAACATTATAATAAACTTAATAAATGTGACAATCACACTGTATGGTAACATCATTTCTATGGAGCTCCTACAGTTAGCATGTGATACTAAACAGAAGCAGTTCCCACATGGTCCAGTCCTTCGGATGCAGAAAATAAATACATCACAAACGTTTTTTCCCTACAAACTCACTCATTTACTATAAATTTTATTCCTGGTTACATAAGCAATCAAATCAAGGAGAAAGATAAACAATCATTTAATGCTGAGTATAATAATAATTTTTAAAAACACAGTATTTAATATTTAGTTACCTCGCCTGACGCTTCATCGACTAAAGATATCTGGGTAGGAGTTTCAATTTCAATGGATATCTATTAAAATAAAATAAGAGGTCATGTATACATTGCATTATACATTTTCATGGGTTTTCATGGCTTTATATGCCTTTGCCATCTCAAACACAGAAAGGGAACTAAGAGACGTTACAGACTCTCTGTGGAACAATTTCTGATTTCACTATAATAATGGTTTAACAGCCCCAAAACATGATAAAGCTAATACAGTACCTTTCCTGAAGTTGATGTGGCAATATGGATTGAACGCCTTATAAACTTACACATCCTCAGACACAGCAATTCTACATCTATGAATTCAATTTTCCTCCCTTCACCTCCCCATGTTTTCTATGTGTTTAGGTTTTCTGCTGCAGAACACAGTCTGCCATCAGTCCATGGTGTGTTGGCCTAATTCACAGATTTGAGCTGCTATGAAAAGGTCGGAGTGTACGTGCACATTTTACTAGAAGAGTGAGGAGCACAGAGAGGCATCCAGTAAGTAGCTGATGAATAAACAGAATTTCCCACCTTTTTAGCCCACTGATGTCATAAGATTTACAGTGACTGAAATTCAGGTGTGAAAATATCCTTGCATTTCTGGAATAAACACACTGTATTCATGATACACTATTTTTTAATACTGTGAGATTCAGTCAGCTATGACCTTAATTAGGATATTCACACGTGAAATGGCCTTTTTTCCCCCATTTACTATCACTATCCATTCTGCCAGTGAGGTTGAGCAGCTTATCTTTTTAGTCTCTCCTACAATAGGGATCATTTGTTCTTTGAACATTTGGCAAAACGCACCTATAAAACCATCTGGGTGTGGGGCTTTTTTGAAGAAGAGATCTTTGAAAACTGTTTTAATGTCTTTGACGCCTACTTCTTTATTCAAGTGGTCTACTTTTCTTCCCTCAATTTGGTATTTTCCTACTTTTCCAGTATTTATCCACTGTGTCTAAATTATTGAATATACTATCATATTAATTTTCAAGACAAGGCACTGCTATTATTAATAGGTATTTTCCTTTTTATCATTCTGTATTTTTATATGCATCTTTGTTCTTTTAATCGATCTTGGCAAGATTTATCTCTATTTCGTTTTGTTTTCTTTTGTTTGTTTTGTTTCTTTGCTTTGGCCACACTGTGCGGCATGTGGGATCTTAGTTCCCCAACCAGAAATCAAACCTGCATCCCCTGCATTGGAAGCACAGAGTCTTAACCGCTGGACCACCAGGAAGTCCCTAAATTTACCTCTATTTCTCTAGAAACCAGCTTTTACTTTTGTTAATCTTCCCTTTTATTTTCTGTGGTGGTTAGTCTCTATATCACTAACCTGTCCTTTTCTCTCTATTATTTTCTTCTTTCACATATCCTTAGGTTTGCTTTGTTGCTCCTTTTCGTTCTTCTTGAGTCAAAGACTTATTCCATTTAGTTCCAGTCTGTTTTCTAAGAAATGCATTTAATGCTCTCAATTTCCCTTCAAGTACTAACTTAGCTGTGCTCCACACACTTTGACATGTCACACTTTCATTGTCCATCAGTCCTAAGTATTGTATGTTTTTCTTTACAATTTTCTCTTTAACCTAGAGTTGCTTGTGGTATGCATTTAGCTCCCATATGTATGGGATGATTTTAACTCTCCTTGTATGTCTGATTTCCAACATCATTGTATTATGGTAAAAGAACAGATCACTAGGATTTCTTGAAACTTCTTTAGTGACGTAGTACATGCTCAGTTTTGATAAACGTTCCAAGTTTACCCAAAGATCTCTTCTCTGTTCGGTTTAAAGCTCTGTGTTTCGATTGGTTCGCATGTATTAATTACGCCATTTAAATCTTCTGTATATTCACTTACTTCCTGTCTCCTTCATCTCTCAGCTTCTGAGAGTGGTCTGGTAAGCTCTCCAGCTACCACTGTTGAGTTGCCCCTTTCTCCCTTAGATTATGAGGTGGCCTTGAACTACATCCACTCAGCTGACCTGGAAGGATCCTACAAGCCCCTTCCACGTACACTTCCAGGTTAGCAGTGGCCACAAGAAACACCTGTGTGAGATTTGGAAGGCAGAAGTGAACCAGCAGCCATTTTTCAATGCTCTGAAAGGCACCAGAAATTATAACAGCTCAGGTACGCTGTTGATCTGTTGGCTTACCTCACTGACATGGGCAGTACGGCAGCAGCTCCGTCTTCCGCTGGGTATCCTCCCGAGCTTCTTGGAGCCCTGGGCCACGTGTGTGGAACTCAGTGACCAAGGAGTGGAGGCAGACATGGGTCCCCATTTGTCCCTGTGGACTCCAGCCTATCTCTGCTCTTCTCTCCTTCTTTTTCAGCTTTCCTTCCTGACTGCTGGCCAGATTGACCCACAGTAACTTCAGGCCTAATACCAAGGCCAAGGTTACAGCCTTGCTGTTGTGTCCCTCTGCAGAGGGGGGACAGATCCCACCCAACTGACAGATCAGAGGCTAAGACTGAAGATGTCACACATGAACCAAGAGAGTGTGAAAACACTGCGGTATGTTCACTGTGGGACTTTCTGGGGAGAGCAGGGTAGAAACCAGGCTGGGAGGAAGTGGTTTGTGTGACCTGAGAAAATGGGAGCAGGTGGCCCTGGTTTTTATCGTGGTTACAGGGTGGGCCTGGGCTTGCATGTTTAAAATCCATGTAGGCGCCAAGGAAGGGGCAGGCTTTTTTTTTTTTTAATCCGTTTGCCCAGATGTGGGGCAAGTGGAGGTGGGAGCTGAAAGCTACCAGCAATCAGACATCAAACATTCTTGGTGATGCTTGTTCAGACTTCTCTGCCAGCACCCCCAATTACTGACGGTTTAATCCATATCACAAACCCTAATGCTATCTACTCCTCGTGGTTCTTCCTCTGATCAAGCTCTGGGTGGTCAGGTACTACTGTATCCAGGTTGAGGCTACTTTGTCAATTGCATTTATGTTCATATCTTCTTGATACTATTAAAAGGTTGTTCCTTTTAATAGTAAATAACATCTTCTTTGACGCTTATGATATTTTTTTTTTGCCTTCAATCTCCGTATGATATAAAAGTTGCCACTCTGGCATGTTTAGCTTCTAATTGTTCATTATATTTTTTCCTTTTTATTTTTTCCCCTTTAACCTGCATTTTTCCTTTAGAGTAATTTATGTCTCTTGTAGACCAAGACTGGTGGATCATTTTTTTTTTTTTAGCCTAAACCAAGAATTTGTCTTTTGATCCAGGGTTGAAGTAAATTCATTCATATTCATAGCAATAACTGTTATAATAGAACTTGTGCCACCATCTTTGCATTTTCAACGTGCCATGCTTTTTTCTCCCCTTTACCTTCTGTTGGATAGATCCATTTTATTCTGCCAGATTCAAAATTATCCATTCTATTTTCATTCTGATTGTTATCCCTTTCTTATTATAACCCATAAATTTTGTTTATTTTTCCTAATCTATCCCATGATCTAAATAAAAGGATTTATCAATTATGTTAATGAATGTTTTATACTTTAAAGTAATAAAATGTAACTCAGCAAGAGAGTCTGTGAGATTAGACAAAACTAAGAATCTAGGTCAACATGTTGAGGGACAAGAAAGAAAAATCAGCAGCGATAAAATGTCAACCTCTTCCAAACTAATGAATTACAAAGGCTAACCAGCAACACTGTAATTACTGTGGGTAAATACAGTGTGGAGGAAGCGGGCTTTGAATAAAGCCGATGCTTTGCTCAATACACCTCAAAACATATTTCCCACTTGAAAAGAATTAGTGTCATTCAAAAAATAAAACTTACAATTCGTTTCTCCCAAAATCTGTACCTCGGGCTCGTTAACAACAGCTCTTTAGTAACAGGCGAACAGTATAAGTACACCTTCAAGCTGAAAATAAGAGACCAAAAAAATCGAGAATGAGACATCTGGGTGACTAGGAAATATGTTTCAAAGTATGTCAGTTGCCTCGAATAATTCAGAAACTGAGCTGACAGGCCAATACTCCAGTGCCCACCTCAGTCCCATCGAGACTATAAAGGGATGGGCAAGAAGCAGAGGAGGGAAAATACTGTGTCCTCTGACCTCCTCAAAGGCTGGTCCTCACCATTCTCATCTTAAAGACATGGGTTTTAGACAATCAGGTATGCCTGGAGAGATACCATCCAATGGTAAACTACCTCTGCAGAAAGGGAAGTGGGACAGGAGACGGCTGCCTTTTACTTCATATAAATCTATTCTGTTTATGTTTAGTGGGCAGAAATCAACTTCATGACAAACTTTAAAAATTCAACACTCCAGTTCAGAGGTTAGGGATACAGTCTACAGCGGATCATACTTTCCAGAGATGCCCACACTGATGTATACACCCTAACCACACACCATCTTCTTACAAAGTGGTCATGGAAATTCCCCCACTGACAGGAGGCGTCTGTGTTAACCTCCCCTTGAACCTGGACAGAGCTTTGTAACTGCCTTAGCCAACAGAATGTGATGGACATAATACAGCAGGCCTTTCGAGGCTAGATCTCCAGGCAGTATGGCTGCCGCTGGCCCTCTCTTGGGACATACACTTTTTTTTTAGTTTCCATTTAAGAAGTCCTGCTATTCTGAAACCACTATGCTGAAGAGCTGTTTTTTAGAGACAGAGATGCCCAAAGTGCCCCAACTGTTTGAGTCTCCCCAGCCCAGATGTCAGACATTGAATGAATGAGCCTTCAGGTAATGTCAGCCCCCATACGACACCCAGTCAGGCAGAAACCAGCCATCCCCACTGTACCCTGTCAGAACTCCTGACCCACAGAAACAGACAGAGAGAATACATGATTAGTGTTGTTTTAAGTCACTGAGTTTGGGGGTAGTTTGTTACGCAGCAAATAGATAACTAATATATAGGCTCTAAAATCAGACAGACCTGGTGGGAATCCTGGTCCTGCCACTTACTGGCTGCGTGACCTTGGGCAACTAATTTAACCCTTCTGGTTCCTCAGTTTCCTCATCTGTAAGATAGAAATAATAATAGTATCTATTCAAAAGATTATCAAGAGGCTCTAAGGAGAATGTCAGCTCCAAGAAGAGAGGGATTTTTGCCTATTTTCCTCACTACTGTATCTTCAACATCTAGTATGAATATTTTTTTTTTCTTTTTTTTTTTTTTTCTTTGCGATACGCGGGCCTCTCACTGTTGTGGCCTCTCCCGTTGTGGAGCACAGGCTCTGGATGCGCAGGCTCAGTGGCCATGGCTCACGGGCCCAGCTGCTCCACGGCATGTGGGATCTTCCCGGACCGGGGCACAAACCCGTGTCCCCTGCATCGGCAGGCGGACTCTCAACCACTGCGCCACCAGGGAAGCCCATGAATATATATTTTTAATAAATATTAGCTACCATTATCAAAAACACAGACTATTGATATCACTTAGCAAAGAAGCCTGCTAAGTCAAAGATCAAATAGTCAAAAAGTCAATAGGGTCCTTTCTATATACAGTTGACCCTTGAACAACATGGAGTTCAACTGTGAGGGTCCACTTACGCACGGGTTTTTTTTCTTCACTAAATAAGTACCATAGTACTACACAATTTGCAGTTAGTTGAACCCACAGATGCGGAACCAGGATAGGGAGGGCCAACTATAAAGTTATATGTGGATTTTTGACCTCATAGAAGGTTGGTGCCCCTAACCACTGTGTTGTTCAAGGGTCAACTGCATATATCTTGAGAATTTGGAATCTGACTTAGGCAATGACTGCAGGAAAAGAATGCAATGACTCAGCTTTAAGAAAGGATCCAACAATATTATATGACTCTTCATAATGAACAATCATTTACGCACACACACACACACACTATTACAGAAATAAAAATGAACAGACTATTACTGCACCCAACAGCATGGATGAATCATTCAAATATAATGTTAAGTAAAAGAAAACAAGTAGAAGAGTCTATTCAGTATGATTCTATTTAAATAAAGTTCAAAAACAACCAAAGCTAAATGATGATGACAAAAGTCAGAAGAGAGGGTACCTGTGGGTGGGGAAGACTGACTGGTGGAGGGACAGGGTTCTGTCCCAGGATATTGATGCTGTTCTATTTCTTGGACTGGGCAGACACTACACATGTGTTCACTTGTAAAAGTTCATCAGACTATTCCCATATGATATAAGTACTTTTCTATGTAGATGTTACAGCTCAATTAAAATTTTTACTTAAAAAAATAGAACACACAAATAAATAGCAAAGGAAATTACCTGGGGACCTCCCTGGTGGTCCAGTGGCTAAGGCTCCGCGCTCCCAATGCAGGGGACCTGGGTTCAATCCCTGGTCAGGGAACTAGATCCCACATGCCACAACTAAGAGTTTGTATGCTGCAACTAAAGTTTCCACATGCTGCAACTAAAGATCCACATGCCACAACGAAGATCCCACATGCCACAACTAAGCCCCAGCTCAGCCAAATAAATAATTTTTAAAAAGAAAAGAAAAGAAATTACCTGCACTCCAACCTTCTTTTCAAGGTAGGGGCTCTTAATCCTTTCATGTGATCTGAAAACAAAATAATCAGAAATCATAAATACATTATTTTTTTCAGAGGATTCCTTGGCCCAAGGAAACTGATCTGTCTGTTCTTTTTAGGCTTCCTTTTAAGAGAAAATAAATGAGAGGTTCACTTTTATAGGAGCACTGATTTGTATGAGCTACTGGCTCTTGCTTCTGCAGATGAAGAATCCACTGAAAATAGGAAAAGAACCACTAAAAGTTGACCATCTCTGAGCCAACAGAAGCCATTTAAAAGGAGAATGATCCTCTGCATCTTAGGGCAGAGTCTAAATCACTCAGAGTAGCCACAGAAGAATGCATGACCTCATTCAGAACTGCTTCCATCACTTTCCTTTACTCTCTTCTTTCATTTCAATCCAACCACCCTTCAGACCATGCTCTCTGTGACCTCTTCAATTCCAGTCACTAAAGTTAGTCCATCTTGAAATTCAAGTTTGCTTCCATGGAATCCTCGAGAAAACCATTCAGGCTTAGGCCAGAATAAGAAGAGTTTCATTATCTTCTCAGCCTACTGTGACTGCTGTGTTGGAAGGTGGGTTATTGCTACCCACAGAGGCTTGCTCCACAGCTTGCCAAATTAACAAACACAGAAAGGTGACTTTTAAATAAAGGTAACATTTAAACCAAATGGTACATTAAATATATAGTGCATTATAATATTACATTTTTGAATCTTTAGCATGCAAAAGCCCAGATAACAAGAACCAAACATTTTGAAATTGCTTAGTTAAATCAAACCAATTCTAATTATCCTGATTCCAAATAAAAACCAAAAGAAAGCTGGAGTAACTACACTTAGACAAAACAGACTTTAAAACAAAGACTCTAATAAGAGACATTATCATATTACATATGATAATGTAATATTTACAAATGTTATATCCTCTTGTTGGGTCCATCCAACAAGAGGATATAACGTTTGTAAACATTTATGCACCCAACAGAGGAACATCTAAATACAAAAAGCAAATATTAACAGACTTAAAAGGGGAAATAGACAGCAATACAGTAAGAGCAGGGGACTTCAATACCGCACTTAAGTCAATGGATGGATCATTCAGTCAGAAAATCAGTAACAAAACATTGGACCTAAACAACACATAAGATCAGATGAACTTCACAGATATATAAAGAACGCTTCATGCAAAGGCAACAGAACACACAATCTTCTCAAGTGCACATGGAACATTTTCCAGGATAGACCACATATTAGACCACAAAATGAGTCTCAATAAATTTAAGATGATTAAAATCATATCAAGCATCTTTCCAACTACAATGGTATGAAACTAAAATTAATTACAAGAAGAAAACTGGAAAATTCACAAATAAGTGGAGATTAAACAACATGCTACTGAACAACCAATGGGTCAAAGAATAAATCAAAAGAGAAATTTTAAAATACCTTGAGACGACTGAGAATGGAAATAAAACATACCAAAATTTGTGGGTTGCAGCAAAAGCAGTTCTAAGGGGGAAGGTCAAGAGACAAATGCCTACCTCAAGAAACAAGAAAAATCTCAAATAACCAACCTAACTTTACAACTCAAGAAACTAGAAAAAGAAGAACAAACAAAGCCCAAAATTAGCAGAAGGAAGGAAATAACCAAGATTAGAACAAAAATAAATAAAAAACAGACTAAAAAGACAACAGAGAAACTAAGTTGTGAAACTAAGAGCTGGTTCTTTGAAAAGGTAAACAAAATTGACAAGCGTTTGCTAGACTAAGCAACAAAGGAGAAGTGGGGAGAGAGAGAGAGAGAGAGAGAGAGAGAGAGAGAGAGAGAGAGAGAGGGAGGGAGGGAGGGAGGGAGAGATAGGACTCAAATAAATAAAATCAGAAATGAAAGAGGAGCTATTACAACTCTTAAAACGGAAACGAAAGGGTAAGAGACTACTATGAACAATTATACACCAACAAAGTGGACAACCTAGAAGAAATGGATAAATTCTTAGAAACATACAACCTATCAAGACTGAATCATGGTGAAACAGAAAATCGGAATAGACTGATAACTAGTAAGGATACTAAATATCTCTACTAATATCAGTAACTTTAAAAATCCAACAAACAAAAGTCCCGGACCAGATGGCTTTGCTAGTGAATTCTACAAACATTCAAAGAACTCAATTTATGAGGCTAGCATTACCCTGATACGAAAACCAGACAAGGACATCACACAAATTACAGACCAATATCCCTGATGAACATAGATGAAAAAAATCCTCAACAAGATATTAGCAAACAGAATTCAACAACACATTAAAAGGATCATACACCATGATTTAGTGGGATTTATTCCAGGGATGCAAATTTGGTTCAACATCCACAAATCAGTCAATGTTATAATCACATGAACAAAATGAAGGATAAAAAACCATATAATCATCTCAACAGATGCACAAAAAGCACTGGACAAAACTTGACATCCATTTATGATAAAAACTCTCAATAAATCAGGTATAGAGGGAACAAACTTCAATATAATAAAGGCCATATGTGACAAGCTCTCAGCAAACATCATAATCAGTGGTGAAAAGCTGAAAGCTATTTCTCTAAGATCAGAAATAAGACAAGAACACCCATTCTTGCCCTTTTATTCAACATAATATTATAAATCCCAGCCATAGGAATTAGGCAAGAAAAAGAAATAAAAAGCATGCAAAGTTGAAAGGAAGAAGTAAAACTGGCACTATTTACAGACAACATGATACATATATAGAAAACCCTAAAGACTCCATCAAAAAACTGTTAGAGGAATACTGGTCAAGATGGCAGTGTGGGAAAACGCAGAGTTAGCATCTCCCCACAACTAGGGTGCCTGAAGGCCGCGGGTGGGGGACTCTGACGCCCAAGGAGACGGGAGGAACCCCAAAGTGAACCAGTAGGATGTAGGGGGACTGAGCGGGGAGGAGAAGTGGATGGCAGACAGGATCAGTGCCTCAGAGGCCAGGGAGATCAGGAGAGGCAGGAGGGAGGGGCCCTCTGGGAAGAGTGGGAGAGGAGTGGAGGGCAATTGCCTGGCCCACTTGGGCCAGGGAGCCTGCTGAGCTCCCAAACCAGTACCCACCCCCCCAAAAGCCTGATCCAGGCCACGTGGGTCCTGGAGGCATAGGAGGGAGGCTGGGGAGATCAGGAGAGGCAGGTGGGAGGGGTCATCCAGGAGGAGCAGGAGAGGAGCGGAGGGCGATTGCCCCGCCCACTAGAGCCCAGGAAGCCTGCTGGGCTCCCAGGTGAGGTCCCCTGCCCTCTGAGACCAGGGGTGAGGGGCATGCCTGGGTCCCTTCTGTTCCTTGAGACTAAGCCCCACCCCACACGGCCCCCAGGGCCTTTTCCAGCCCTGTGGGTCCTGAGCATAGACCCCGCACACCACCCAAACCTCGCCCTTGCTTAGGCCCCGCCCTCCACAGCCAAGGCCTTCCCTTGTTTTTTCTTCTTTTCCCTCCTCCTCTTTTTTTACTATTGTGGTACTGATGTACCTTCCAGTTGATTCATCTATATTTTTATTTTTATATTCTTTCTAACATATCTGTTAGTTTCCTAGTCTAATTTTATTTTTTACTTTGTTATTGTTCTCTTTTTTTTTGCCACCCCATGCAGCTTGCGGGATCTTGGATCACAAGCCCAGGGTCGGGCCGAAGCTCCTGCAGTGGGAGCTTCAAGTCTGAACCACTGGACTAACAGAGAACCTCAGACCCCAGGGAACATTCATCAGAGTGAGGGCTCATGGCATTCCTCATCTCAGCACCAAGATCCAGCTCTACCCAATAGCCTACAGACTCCAGTGTTGGAAGCCGCAGGCCAAACAACCAGTAAGACAAGAACACAATCCCACTCGTAAAAAAAAAAAAAAAAAAAAAAATGAGACAGCACACAAATATGTCACAGATGAAGGAGAAAGGTAAAAACCTACAAGACCAAATAAATGAAGAGGAAATAGGCAACCTACCAGAACAAGAATTCAGAGTAATGACAGTAAAGATGATCCAGAATCTCGGAAATAGAATGGAGGCATGGATCGAGAAAATACAAGAAATGTTTAACAAAGATCTAGAAGAACTAAAGAACAAACAAACAGATAAACAACACAATAACTGAAATGAAAAATACACTAGAAGGAATCAATAACAGAATAATGGAGGCAGAAGAACGAATAGGTGAGCTGGAAGACAAAATGGTGGAAATAACTGCCGAGGAGCAGAATAAAGAAAAAAGAATGAAAAGAATTGAGGACAATCTCAGAGACCTCTGGGACAACCCTAAACACACCGACATTCAAATTATAGGGGTCCCAGAAGAAGAAGAGAAAAAGAAAGGGTCTGAGAAAATATTTGAACAGATTATAGTTGAAAACTTCCCTAACAGGGAAAGGAAATAGTCACCCAAGTCCAGGAAGCACAGGGAGTCCCATACAGGATAAACCCTAGGAGGAACACACCAAGACACATATTAATCAAACTAACAAAAATTAAATTCAAAGAAAAAATATTAAAAGCAGCAATGGAAAAACAAAAAATAACATACAAAGGAATCCCCATGAGGTTATCAGCTGATTTTTCAGCAGAAACTCTGCAGCCAGAAGGCAGTGGCAGGATATACTTAAAGTGATGAAAGAGAAAAACCTACAACCAAGATTACTCTATCCAGCAAGGATCTCATTCAGATTCGACGGAGAAGTGAAAAGGTTTTCAGACAGGCAAAAGCTAAGAGAATTCAGCACCACCAAACCAGCTTTACAATAAATGCTAAAGAAACTTCTCTAAGCAGGAAACACAAAAGAAGAAAAAGACCCACAAAAACAAATCCAAAACAATTAAGAAAATGGTAATAGGAACATACATATTGATAATAACCTTGAATGTAAATGGATTAAATGCCCCAACCAAAAGACACAGACTGGCTGAATGGATACAAAAACAAGATCCATATATATGCTGTCTACAAGAGACCCACTTCAGACCTAGGGACATATATGGACTGAAAG